TCACAAACGAATCTCTCATGGTAACCGTAAGCGTGAACAATCAATTAAGACCCGAATTGGTTTATCAAATCCTTCCAATGATTGCTAAGCCCAGAATCCATCTTCTGGGTTGAAATTGTCTCCGTGTTTGTATATGTGGATAGCCTCATGAACGAAACTCTTATGGTAACCGTAAGCGTGAACAATCAATTAAGACCCGAAATGGTTTATCAAATCCTTCCAATGATTGCTAAGCCCAGAATCCATCTTCTGGGTTGAAATTGTCTCCGTGTTTGTATACGTGGATAGCCTCACGAACGAAACTCTCATGGTAACCGTAAGCGTGAACAATCAATTAAGACCCGAAATGGTTTATCAAATCCTTCCAATGATTGCTAAGCCCAGAATCCATCTTCTCGGTTGAAGTTGTCTCTGTGTTTGTATACGTGGATAGCCTCATGAACGAAACTCTCATGGTAACCGTGAGCGTGAACAATCAATTAAGACCCGAATTGGTTTATCAAATCCTTCCAATGATTGCTAAGCCCAGAATCCATCTAATCGGTTGAAGTTGTCTCTGTGTTTGTATACGTGGATAGCCTCATGAACGAATCTCTCACGGTAACCGTGAGCGTGAACAGTCAATTAAGACCCGAATTGGTTTATCAAATCCTTCCAATGATTGCTAAGCCCAGAATCCATCTTCTCGGTTGAAGTTGTATCTGTGTGTGTATACGTGGACAGCCTCATGAACGAAACTCTCATGGTAACCGTAAGCGTGAACAATCAATTAAGACCCGAAATGGTTTATCAAATCCTTCCAATGATTGCTAAGCCCAGAATCCATCTTCTGGGTTGAAATTGTCTCCGTGTTTGTATACGTGGATAGCCTCACGAACGAAACTCTCACGGTAACCGTAAGCGTGAACAATCAATTAAGACCCGAAATTGGTTTACCAAATCCTTCCAACGATTTAATTTTCTTTGTTATTTTCTTCCACACCGATGTGGGGTGACTTTACCGAATGACCCGAAGAATCCGTCGTGTTCCCTTTGGGCTCTTCCAGGTGAAGTCACAAAGTAGGTATAACATGAAACGAATTAAATCACCACGCTTCCATGGCAACGCAAGCGAGCGTCATCAGGTGGGGTAAGCAGCAGAAATCAAAGGTGTTTGCTCAAGTGTGGGAGCATTGATAGCTGCGGTCACGAAAACTTTTTTTTTTTAAATGTGAATCTGTTTCGCTCGTGTTATATTTTTTTTTCACCCGGTTGCAAGGCCCCACACGTAGATCTTTCATCAAATCGCAGAACGGTGTCATAGGGTGCAGGAGGCCCTCCTTCAGGCCCGCATGTGCAGTAGGCCCTGCTTTAGGCCCTCAAGAACTCAACCCTGCACCATAGACTCAGCACTGCACAATAGACTCAGCACTGCTACCCATAGACTCAGCACTGCACCATTGACTCAACACTGCACCATAGACTCAGCACTGCACAATAGACTCAGCACTGCTACCCATAGACTCAGCACTGCACCATAGACTCAACACTGCACCATAGACTCAACACTGCACCATAGACACAACACTGCACCATAGACTCAACACTGCACCATTGACTCAACACTGCACCATAGACACAACACTGCACCGTAAACTCAACACTGCACCATAGACTCAACACTGCACCGTAGACTCAACACTGCACCATAGACTCAGCACTGCACCACAGACTCAACACTGCATCATAGACTCAACACTGCACCATAGACTCAACACTGCACCATAGACTCAGCACTGCACCACAGACTCAACACTGCATCATAGACTCAACACTGCACCATAGACTCAACACTGCACCATAGACTCAGCACTGCACCACAGACTCAACACTGCATCATAGACTCAACACTGCATCATAGACTCAACACTGCATCATAGACTCAACATTGTACCATAGACTCAACACTGCACCATAGACTCAACACTGCACCATAGACTCAACACTGCACCGTAGACTAAGCACTGCACCATAGACTCAGCACTGCACCATAGACACAACACTGCACCATAGACTCAACACTGCACCGTAGACTCAACACTGCACCATAGACTCAGCACTGCACCACAGACTCAACACTGCATCATAGACTCAACACTGCATCATAGACTCAACACTGCATCATAGACTCAACACTGTACCATAGACTAAACACTGCACCATAGACTCAACACTGCACAATAGACTCAAACTGCCCAAAGACTCAGCACTGCACCATAAACTCAACACTGCACCATAGACTCAGCACTGCACCATAGACTCAACACTGCACCATAGACTCAACACTGCTACCCATAGACTCAACACTGCACCATAGACTCAACACTGCACCATAGACTCAACACTGCACAAAGACTCAACACTGCACCATAGACTCAACACTGCACCATAGACTCAACACTACTACCCATAGACTCAACACTGCACCATAGACACAACACTGCACCATAGACACAACACTGCACCATAATACACAGACACTAATAATACACACACTAATAATACAGACACACACTAATAATACACAAACACTAAAAATAAACACACACTAATAATACACACACACTAATAATACAGACACACTCTAATAATACACACACTAATAAAACACAGACACTAATAATACACAAACACTAATAATACAGACACACACTAATAATACACACACACTAATAATACAGTCACACACTAATAATACACAAACACTAATAATACACAGACACTAATAACCATACACACGAAAAATAAACACACACTAATAATACACACACACTAATCATAAAAACACACTAATAAACACATCTAGATGCATACACACACACAGATACAGATCCTCTGTAGAGCCCACAACAAAACTATCCACTCTCTCCACAACTGTCCCATCACCAATTGGGAGTTGTGGGGGTGGAGTGTCCGATGGTACAAAATACCCAGGCAGGTGCTTAGTTTTGGTGGGGCTGATGGTAAGGCCCCACCTCTTAGTGGCACGCTCCAGTCTCAGCAGCAGCGTCTCCAACTCCTCCTCTGAATGAGCAGCTATTACCAAATCATCAGCATACATAACGTGGTTGACCAATAGGGAGCCATCCTTTGACCGCACCCGGGCATCGATCAGCCATCCATTGTATCTGTACCAGATGGAAATTCCTCCGGGACAGCCGTCAAAGGCTTCACAAACTACGTGGTCTAAAAATATATTAAATAATGTTGGAGCCAGAGGACATCCCTGTCGCACCCCAAGGTGTACAGGGAATGGCTCTGACTCCCGGCCACGTAGTTTTACCCGGGCCTGCTCACCACCATGAAGGTCCTTAATGATTGTGAGCAGAGGGTCAGGGACTCCAAAAGCACGAAGAACGACCCAGAGCCCAGGCCTACTGATGGTATCATAGGCCTTGACCAGGTCAATAAAGCAGAGATGTAGGTCTTGTTGGAATTCCCTACACCTCTTCTGTAGCAGACGGACAGAAAATATGGCATCTGTGCAGGACCGCCCTTTCCTGAAACCGCATTGGGGCTCCGCAAGCCTCTCCTCAGCGTGCCTGGCAAGGCGATGCTGAATAATCCTTGCCAGGACCTTTCCCGGCACACTGAGGAGTGAGATGCCCTTGTAGTTGTTACAGTCTGTGCGGTCCCCCTTCTTAAAGAGGGGGACCACCAGGGCATCCTTCCAATCCTGCGGAACCCATCAGGTGGTCCAGACTGTTGTTATGATGTCATGTAGGGCAGTCTGTGCACATACGCCACCCTCCCTCAGTATTTCGCTTGGGAGATCATCTCTGTCCGGTGCCTTTCCTGGTCTCAGACTCTGGATCGCCTTCAATACTTCCTCAACAGATGGCACCTCAGCCAGCCACTCACAGGGGGTGACTTCCTCCAATATTTGAGGCACCGCAGCCTCGGCAGGGTCATCCCCACTTTGTCCCACATTGTTATCCAGGCTGAGGGATTTTCCCTCCCCCAGGACCTCACAGAAATGCTCAGCAAATCTGCGAACCTGTTCCTGGGGGTCGGAGATTGGATCACCGTTTTTTCCCCTAATGATGGTAATAGGTGTGGCGCTGCAGGTCACTTTTTTTGATGGCGTTAAATAGAGATTTGTGATCACGGGCCACTGAGGCAGACTCCATCTCCTCAGAAACCCGCGACCACCACCCATCCTTGCAGCGCCTCACGGCACTCCGAACCTCCGAGCGAAGGCTGCGGTAAGCCTCCTCATTCTCTGACGTGGGATTCTGTAGCCGATGACAGTGGGCCTGTCGCTTGTTCTCAGCCAACCTGAACACCTCCTCTGTCAGCCAGGGTCTCTGGGGAGGTCTGGACCGTGTACCCAAAGCAGCCATTGCAGCTGCATGAGTCACAGTCCTAAACCTCGCCCATTTCCCCTCGACATCAGGAGGAGTGGGGGACGATGCCAACCCCAGCCGCAGGCGATGATTAAAATCTCGCTTGCAAC